CTAACCCTCCCCCAAGGCCTGCTCGAGACCCTCTTCGCGCACCCGACCCTGCACGCGCGCGACCTCTCGTCCGTGCACGCTGCGTGCGCCGCGCACCCGAGCGCCGCCTACATCCACCGCGCGCTGCAAGCCGCGGCGCTGCTGCGCCTGCGCGCCACTCCCGCGGGCCGTCTCCTCCTACCGCACCGCTTCGCGCACGAGACCGCGCTCGCCCTGCTGCACTTCCTCCACCGCCAAGACGGTGCCGTCGCCCCGCCGCCCGCGGCCACCTCCATCTGGAGCAGCGGCCGCAACGACGCCGGCCAGGGCGCGCGCGTCTCCCCGCACGACACCAACACCCCGCTCCGCACGCACCGCGTCGCCAGCGCGCACCACGAGTTCGCCCGCCCGCCTGCCCCCGTCATTTTCGTCGCCGCGGGCCAGGCCCACTCGGCCTGCCTCACGGCTTACGGCACCCTCCAGCTGGCCGGGTGCAACCGCCGCGGCCAGCTCGGGCTCGGTGACCTCTCGCCGCGCCCGGCCTGGACCCCTGCCAGACACCTCAGCACCACCCGCATCGCCCAGGTCGCGTGCGGCGCGGAGCACACCCTCGTCCTCACGGCCGCCGGCCGCGTCCTCGTCGCCGGCGCCAACGATGCAGGCCAGCTCGGCACCGCCGACCGCGTCCAGCGGACCCGCTTTTGTGCCCCGGCCCCATTCGCGAGTACCCCGGTCGCTATGATTGCTGCTGGGACGAATCATTCCGTCGTTCTGCTGGAGAACTCCACCGTCTTTGCGACCGGCGATAACTCCAATGCTCAGCTGGGCGGGCGCGCCGACGGAGGCGCCGCCACCTTCCAGCCAGTCGGCTGTTTCGGAAGGAAAGTCGTGCGCGTCGCGTGCGGCAGCGACACCACCATGCTGCTCACGGCAGACAACATGGTGCTCGTCACAGGCAAGCGCAAGTGCGGCTTGAGCGTCATCGGCGGACTCGGCACGAGCAGGGTCACGCACTTGTCTGTGGGGGAGGGCTTCGCCATCGCGAGTACGGACGAGCGGGCGGTGGCCGTGAGCCTTTGCCGCAAGCGCTTCTTCGTCACCGACGAGCTTAACGTTGTCGACGCTGCATGCGTAAGTGCTGGTATCTCGCATTACGCTATCGCTACGGAGGATGGCGGCGTGCTTGCGAGCGGCGCGAACGCGTTTGGGCAGGTTGCCGCTGGCGAGATGGGACTCACTATTGAGGGGGGTATGAACGCCAGGATTATTCGACCGCATCGAGTCCCGCTTTCGAATGTCGATATTCCACCGGGTTATCGAGTGAAACATGTCGCAGCCGGCTCCTTTCATACACTCTTCTTGCTTGCAGCAGACGGTCATGCCCAAGTCTAGAGAAGCTTTGTCATGTATAATATCGACCATCTCTCCGTTGTCGTCGTCCCCGGGTTTCGACGGTGCGGTAAGCTTTTTTTTGGTTTCTGGCGCGAACGAACAAACTTTTTATGATACAACACATCGCGACAATGACAATCGCTGTGTGCTTGCATCGCCACGGCCAGCAGCGTCATGACCCTTATTTAACTGGAGGCGGAGATGTAGAGAACAAATCGAAAGTCCGACAGCAATACAGGACGTTTGTATAACTGGTAAGAGAGCAGCTCCTTGCCCACCGGAAGGCGGCTAACTGTAAAACACTATTAAGTGGAACCCATCCACCGATTAACTGGCCAACGCATCTGCCTCGCTCTGCCCTTGAATTTGCCGCACAATCCCGTTGACATGCAAAAGGCCGACGACAGCGCAGATGACCACTGGTCGTTCGTGGGTCGATTGAATTTCCGACGCGGTTTCCAGTATGCTTTTCGTCAGAAAGCGGTCTCGATCTGCAATCAGCACTTTCATGAAGCGCAGCGTCGACACGATTATGTACGACATCGTAAGCGTCTGACCCAAAGATGCCACAATCGGAAGTAGCGTCGTTGCATACCCCTCTGACAGCATGCTTATCGGTATTGACGGTGCACTGTCCAGCGCTAAAGCGCCAGCGTTCCCCGCAAGGCTGATGGCTGACGAAATAACCAGAGCCGGAAATGTGAGCCTGACAAGCTCAAGTACTCTCCGTGGTTCCAAGAGAAAAAGCCCAAGCATGGTCACCCCGTCCTTTGGCGGAAGTATGAGTCGTCCAACAATCTCTTCTATTGACGAGAGCGAGTCGCGCAATGATCTGAGCGGGTTGCCAAACACTCCATATAGATTCTGGATCGTATCCCGTGCCGGCGCATCGCCACACACAATCTTCCAGGGTCCCTCGCGACGAATGGCCTCATAGAACTCGGCGCCCGGCTGCACGCCAGACAGGATTTGGAGATTGTAGACGGACTCGAGGATGAAAGCTATGACAGCGGGACCGGTGCCGCCAAAGGTTTTAGAGACTTCCTCGAAGGTGCGCGGTTTGCGCTTCTCCGATGCCTTGTCGGGCATGTTCCCCATCATCTGTTTTAGAGATTTGAGACGCGTTTCGCAGAGTTCCAGAATCTAGAATAGGACAGGGGGGATTGCGTCGACGAGCGTTAGAGTCAAAATTCAATGATGAAACTGCCCTTTAACACAAAACGAAAGAAAGACGTACCACGGCATCCGGGTTTGTTTGATCAAGCACGCTGGCAACATCCTCTGGTCACAACAAAACAAGAAACACATCAGACATCCTCATACTCTATCCTCATGTCGTCACTCGCAGTGGACGCAGAAAAAAGCGTTCGTACCAGCACTGACCTTAGACCCATGCACACATCCAACTACGTAAACATGCGCCCCGGAGCCCCTGTCCTTGACTGCGGCGACGCTTGCGGGCAGCCTTGCAGAGGGTATATAGCGACGCCGCGGGCGGTGCGAGCGCGTGCGAAAGGGAGTGCGCAAAGAAATGCAGAGGGGGAGGGCGAAAGCAGCGGTCGCCATTGCTGTTGAGGGAGGCCAGTGGATGGCGGAAGTCAGGTTCGCGGACGGGCGCAATGAGGTTGCGCTGCTACCTGAGGAAAGATTAGCAACCCGATCTCGGTGGGAATATAATATCAGGACGTTGATTTTTTCTAATAATTATGGTCGTGGCAAGTTGCTCCTTTCTGAATTCGGCCAATGGTGACCAAGCGGGGGGGTGATCAGTCTTCCATATCCCATATCCTTTGTGCAGAGACATGAAAGGGATAAACCCTTTCTAGCTAGTGAAAACAGAAAGTGGCTGCCATTCATTCGTTTTAGCTTTCTTCTTTTTCAATGGTGTTTCCCTCGGCCTACTGTCTTTCGGCTTCTTTCAGGTCGGAGTTTTGGATTGCAACCTACCACCGATACTGTCCCATGTTTCTCTATCTTACTGCAGACAAAAGCAAGTTCTCAACAGAGAAGCAAGGCACACCTAACAATCTAATACTATCTACTACACTGCACTACGTTACATCACCAAGCATCCCTAGTTACGTGGCAAATTTCATCACTAGAACAGTGTCTCCATGCGCCCCTCGCGTTTTACTACTGAGAAAGAAAACTGTCCCGCAATCTCTACCAAGGTGAGACTGTACCTTTCCCGGTCACTGCCTGTTAGCGTGAGAATGCCACAATTTGCTCAGCCTACAGGCGCACAAGATGAGCCTCCCAACGCAGTTGTGAGCCGCCCTGCAATTCAATCATATCAACCTAAGACAGACTCACTTTGTCATATGTCGTTTAGTTGAAAACAACTACACGAGATGACGAGATTACTCAACATACCGTACATCGTGGGCCTTTTTTTATATATTTAACATAGGGGGGCCGGGCATGGTCGCTCCTTGAAAGACTTTTTATAGTTGTCAATGGAGCTGTACAGTTTCGGACTTCACATGTTCCTATTCCATAAGAGCATGCTTACATTTTCCACTGGCCTGTGAAATTAGATTACGGGCCGTATATGAGGCACGCATGCACCCCCTCTAACTGCATCTATCATCGAACACTTCTCATACGTAGCAGCCCATATAAATGGTCACATATTTACCACCAAAACAGGTAGAGTAGTCATCCTGCAAGAAAATGTGTGTCTTGCAATCGAGGTATCGAATTGCGGAAACATCGGAACTCAACTTCTGGTTGCTCAATAACTGCATTTTTCTGCTGTACCAAGGGTACAGTAAGTGTTACCCTCAGTACTCTACTGCATCCGTTAGTGTGGCGAGGGAATAAATAAAAAAAGTAATCAAGCTACAGTATTGTTTTGCGCAGAAGCCGATTTCCTGGATGATGGATTGGCATTTCTGTATCAGTACAGGAGCTCAGATCTGACGGCGACCTTGACGCACGTGCGTTTTTGCAATATTGACTGGAAACTTTCGGAAGTGTACCACACTGTTGCGTGCGTACCTTCAACATTCTGAATGCAGATAAAAAATTATGGAGAGAGGTTCGCATTAAAGTGCTCTTTCATGCCAGGCGACCAGAAAATACACTTGCTAGCATTAGAGGCTCGTTTAAATGCTATCATTAAAGGCTACCTCGAGTCCACGAACAGTGCACGCGTGTCTGAGAGAGATACTCATGATCATTCCGCAAAGATCACATAAAGACTTTACATCCATGAGACGGCTTCCCTCCTTCCAACCAGACCGTGAATCCCGTTGTGGTAGTGGTTGGCAGAGAATATGATGTGACAGTCACCTTATTTTTCGTGGCAGCCTCACCTGGCGACTTGATCCCCCGTCCGCCTGCATGGACATGCTCTCCACTGCAGGGCACAAAGAGTAGTACTGTAGTACAGAGTAAAGTCTCGATATCGTGAACCGAAATGTGGCGCTTCCGAGCAGCCCATTGAGTTCGCCTTACCGAGGCAGTTCACGGCGGCGGAACTGCTCGTGTACACGTGTACCCTTTTTACGGGTACAGTATGATTTGGACCACACCGGTGGAGACGCTCTTAGAGCGTCTCCACCAATGCCGATGATACGGTCACAGGAACACAAACTCACTTTCCTTCACTCTGTCCATCGACGGGCAAGGTCGACGGGCAAGGTCGACGGGCGCAATTCCATATCTGGACCACTTCACATTGTGATCCATCCTTCCTTTTCTTTTAATTCTGCCACATCCAGAGTCTATATCAGAAGAGTCAGCTCTCGGTCAAGCCATTGATCTTGGATTAGGGGATTTTGGGGCATTTACTGGCATTGAGCAAGATAAATTTAACGGTGATTCAGATAGTGAGGACGATCGCTCTACTGTGCCAGCGAAAGACCGGACAGGGCGCAAACCGTCGCTTGCTCGGTATCGCGGAACATTAGAAGCTCTATCTAACGAACTCAGTTGTATTATGACGGACGCGAATCTAGTTCAATCGGGGCTGCCTTCGAGCATCAAGTCACTTCTGTATGAGGAACAAAGCCGCGTAAGGAGGCTTCAGCGTTCGAATCTGAGGCAAAGTCGTATGGATGGCTTCTGAAGTCGTTGATGGTTCGTTCCTAGTGCGCATTTCGGCCTCGATAAAGTGAACTCTGGGGTTTTCATGTTTTTGTATGTTCATGGTATCGCGTAGTTCATTCTATAGAGTCTAGTTCACGTTAGAAATACGAAAACGTCGATTCTGGGCCAAAAAAGCGGGGTGGCGCCTCCCTCATAGTCCTTCGGTTCACTGTACCGACACAGTTCATCATATCAGGTACGCAGCTTATCGAGACTTTACTCTGTATCCTTTACAAACCAAACAAGGGACGCTTGCGGCAGATATCGAATGGAGGAAATGTCTAGGTAAGTGCTCTCTGCTGTTTGGTGCCTGTACTTACATCCACGCAAAGGTGCGCAAACTCTACCAGTTGTCTGCAATAATTACTCTTCTGCGCTTCTCTGCTTCAAAGCGACCCCCGCGCTTGTGACCGCCTCTCACTCTACTTTTCGCTGGCTCTTGCCGGCTCCATGTCTCAGATGACGTTGCTCCATTCACCCTTCGATCACGCCTGAGAAAACCTCTTCTCGCAGAATGTGCTGCCTCGTTGCCATTGTTACGGCGAAAATTGGGCCCACTTTCTGCGTCACGAGCACTACCGATTGCGTGAGGCCGCTCATCAACCCATCTTGCTTGGCCCTTTCGCCTCGCAAAATTCACCATCGGCTCAGTCGTGATGCGATCCTTTCCGGCTGTCGTATATCCTTTCCACGCAGACCTTGGTTGAATCGAATCTAAACTTTCTCCTTTCACATGACCAAGGAACAACGCTTCTGCGACGGCCTGCTCGCGATTTCCAACCAAAACAAATGCCTTCCCAGACCCGCGTATCCGACCGACTCGATGGAGATATTCGCTCCCTGTCCATGGTACGTCAACGAGCAACACCGTCCCAATTCCATGGTGATCCAAGCCACGCCCGAACGATTTGGCACAAACCGCCACCCTTGTCTGCTCCCCATTCGTCTTAGTCCCTAGAAAGCTGTCCCAATCCCTCTCCCTGTCCTGGTAGTCATTTCTTCCACACAAATGTACGACATTCTCCCCAACATGTTCCCTCAATAAATCTACCAACCGCTCCCTTCTCTCCCTCTCATCGCAAAAAACAAGCAACCGATCGGCCCCCCCCTTCTGCCTCAACACTCGCCCCGCAATTTCGACTGCTTTTGCAAGCTTGGCCTCCTCCCCCCCATCTACCCGGATGAACGTTGTCTTCAAATCGGCAGGACCCAACGCCTTGTGGAAGCGCTTCCCCTTCACAACTTCCAAGCCGTCATGCCTCTTCTCAATTTCCTCACGGACGCTTCCTGGCACAGTCGCCCCGGCGTACACAAACTGCACGTCTTCCTTCTTTCCCAACGAGTCTACAATCGGCAAGGTCTGGTCTGCAAACCCGCCCTTTTCCGCCAGCAAGGCGTCGGCCTCGTCAACAACGACCGCCTGGACCTTTGACAAGTAAATCAACTTTTGGTCGATCAGGTTGTTGACGGCCCCTGGAGTCCCGACCAACACATCAACCGGGGCCTCTCTCAACGCCCTCTTCAACGCGACGCGCTGCGATCCCCCCATGGCAGCGCGGGCGCGAAACTTCGCGACGTGAGCCAGCGTCTTTGCCACGCGCAGGACCTGGACGGCGAGCTCACGCGTGGGCACGAGGACGAGGACTGTGGGTCGCATGCACGGCGGGGCGACCTGGATAGAGCCGGCAGTTGTCTGTGGGGCCTGTTCCGCGCGCTTGAGATGGGAGAGAAGGGGTGCCAGGTAGGCGAGGGTTTTGCCCGCTCCCGTTTCGGCTGCGAGCAGGACGTGCTTGCGCGAAAGAAGGGGCGGGAGAGAGAGAAGCTGGATCGATGTCGGCGTGTGAATGTTGGCAGAGGACAGGGCCGAAGTTATCGACGGGTGCAGACCATGCGAGGCAAAGGTCGTTTTGGGGGCTAGCGCGGAGAGGGGGGTGCGCGCGCGGCGGCGGGGGAGGGCGGTCGGGTGGACGGTGGTGCAGAAAAACCGCGCAGCGCGGCCTAAAAGATGAGGCCGGGCAGGCATCGTGTGCAAGGTGTTGGTGGGAGTGGCGAGAGCGCCCGGGGCAGGGTGTGGTAAAAGGGAGTGCCCCCTGGCCAGCAGACATGCGGGGAGGGATGTGGACAGTAAATGTAGTAGCGATATCCAGCACAGGGGACCGCCGTAGAGAGGAGCGGATAGCGAAGGCGACTTGCTTTTCCATGGCTCTACAAAATTAGATCCATCCACACGTGACGTAAAAACACGTGTGCGTCAGGAACCGATGCGTGCTCTTCCCCTTCTCTCTCCGCACTATCTGCTTCTCTCCATCGCCAAGAACAACAACCTCCTTCCAAGTATGCCCTCACCACCATGCCACCCCCCCTTCGCGTCCAAACCGTGCAACCGCGCAGATCGAAACGCCGCTCCTCCCCCCCGCCACCATCCCCCACCCGCCTAAAGAAGCCTCGCCGCCCCCCCACCCCCCCACGCGCCCCATCCACCTCCGCTTCGTCAGCCGCACCCGCTGCCGCCACCACCGCCAAGATCGCCGCCCTGCGCCCCGTTCTCGACGCCTTCCTCTCCAAAATTCCACACGCACCCGCCCCACCATCGCTGCTGCTCGCCATCGCCGACGTCGTCACCCTCCTCCCAGTTCCGCACTTGCTCGCCACGCTCCCCAACCTCCCGCGCGCCCTTCTCGTGGCCGCCCGCCTCGGCATCCTCCCCGACCCCTCTCGTGCTGGCATCCTCGCTCTCGCCCGTACCCTTGCCGTCTTCGCCAGGGGCGCCGCCGCCCCTGTGCCTGACTCCGTGCCCGACCGACCCACCACACGCTCTGCCTTCCTTCCCGCCGACAACCACCACTTTTCAAGAGTCGAGCTCGAAGCCCTCCGCAGGGCGGGGCGCTGGGCCCTCGCCCTGCTCACCACATGCGTGCGCGGTGAGCCCGAGGCTGGGGAGGCAGCAGGTGCGAGTGTCGCCCATTCCGATACGACCCACGTCTTCGTCGCCCCGAGGGACGCTCTGGATCCCGTCATGGCCGCATATTATCGCCGCAGTATAGAGGACTGTGTTGGCGTGATCGCTAGTGATGAAGGTATGACCCGCGCAGAAAAGGCAGCGGTCTTGCGCGGGGTTGGGCGCAAGGCTGCCGCCGTAAAGGGGGAGGTTGGGGTCGGAGTTGTGGAAGCATTGCTGCGCGCAGTGGCTGCAGTGGGATTTTGCTTGCGCCGCGAAGAAGGCGGCGGCGCAGGTGAGACGCTTGATGAAGGCTTTGTCGACTTTATCATGGCTGACTGGCCGGATGGTCCGTTTCGGCATCTATCGTCTACGGCACTGCGGAGGTTGCTGTCGCTTAACAGGAAAGCGTGGTTGACGCACAAGAACGATGTCGTAAGCGCGTTTCGCGCAGAGTCGGGGATGGCGTTCGGCGAGCAGCGGGGCGTGGTGGCACTCTTGGCGGACGTGGCTGCGGAGCATGTGCAGCATCATTGGGAGCTGATGGACCATGTCAGGGTATGTGTCGGCAGTGATGACGAGCCGTTTGCTATCAGGCATTGGAAGGATCGTGAGTGCTACAGAGCAGTGCTGGCAGAGGTCGTAGATAGGCTTTGTTTTGCGACGGTGCCTTCCTGCGGTGATTGTAGACCCAAGGTGGCCGTGACTCCGTTGTTTCGGCGGTTCCCTCAGAGATATCAGTGGATGATTCGAGGTGTCGTCACGGCAGTCACTGCCAGTCTGGAACAGAATGGAGAAGATAGTAGTGGTATATTGCCGAGCAGCATGGCAATGAATATCATATTCGACACGATGGGATTGGAAACAGTTCGCAGCCTACCTCCAAACGCGCACGCTGTACTATTATGTGTTGAGAGCCTGCTCGAAATGCTTTGTTGGGACATCGGATATCGCTCTCATGAGAGCCAGAAGGGTGCCAGAGAAACACTCAAAGGCTTCGACATAAAGAGAACAATCAAGGCGGTGTCTGCAGTTATTGTAATTGTTGAAGAGATTCGACTGCCAGGAGGAAGCGGGGCAGAGGGCGAAGGCGTACTTGCTCGCCGAGCCATGGCCGTGGAGGATATACTCCGACGTATTCGTAACGAGCATTGTTTGCCCTCCATCCGAACAAACGACTGGAGTTTTAGCGGACTTTTGGCCGTCTTCATTTCTGGGGCACTCTGCTCGAGAAAGCTGCGTGGGTTAAAGGCCTTCCACTCTATGCTCGATCCTGTTGAAAAGATGGAATTGCGGCGAGCTGCAGAATTATCGCTTCATATGTCACAGGCTCGCAATTTGGCAGGAGGAATGAATGTCTCCTCAAAGATGCTAGAACAAATTATGGCTCGCACAGGGTAAACATCAGCCGTTCATGAAATTGCTCATCTGATACCGTACGTTCAAAATTTCACATTTTCTTCTAAGGGGGCAGGCACTGTGTACAAGGGTTTGACAAAAATGTCCCTTGGATCGAGCTGTAGCTTTTCTACTTTGCAATATGCCGTGTGTTCTCACATAGCAAGCGCTACGGTCATCCCTAAATTGTAAGAAGTGGATGTGCAGGGGATAGGCAATCACTCGTATGCCACCGTTTTTGCTTCGAGATCGCATCCCCGGTTGTTGAAGGGATGACGTCTTGTCTGGTCAGGAGTACAGACTGCCGGGATTCAAGAGCATGATGCAATCTCCCTACATCTCAGGAAACATGCGTAACATTGTGCGCATTTGAGGACAACGTACTGCATGATAGGCACCGCACAGGTATCACCGCACAGGTATCAATAGAAGGTTATTCTTTCGTCATAACTTTCTAGATTCAGAACAGCTGAGGCCCTGTCAAGGCAATGAGGGCCTAGAGATGTCACCAAACTATTCATTTAAAGCTGGTCGTGGTATCGATCTTGCTCACGTGCATCAACAGCGACTTCTGTAATCTATATTCAGCATGCCACTAATTACTTGGATCCAGACTTCTCAAAAAGAATATATTCAATTGTTCCAGCTGCAGACGTGTCCGCATAAAGTGAATGTCAAGGGCCGAATCTTTTCCTTGGGCCGAGTGTGTTTCTTACTCATGCATGGCCCGGAATGTTCCTGTCATGACTTGTCCGATAGCCAGTCACGTTATTTCCCAAGTACGACATTGGTGTCACAGATGCGTCAGTTTTTTCCCTCTAACTGTTTTAACCCAGTCCTCGTGATATAGAGAGGTTTTCTTTGCCTCTTCGTCTTTCTTCTAGCGCCCGGAATTTGATTCCAAGGGGGGCTACCCTCATGTTCTTTCAGATTTGTATCACTTTGATTCCTTTTGTACACAATAGAGGGGCTAACCGAATAGAGCTTTGTGGGTCATTAGAAGGGGCACAAGGCAAGGAAAATATGTGAAGTTCTCAAGATTCGTCATATTCATCTGCCTTGAGTGGAGAAGTCAAGTTATCATGGGTTCCTGACTAAACTATAAAGCGAGTCTCTTCAATCGGTTTCTTTCTCCTCAACCCTTCGTTGCAGTCTTCTCCAAGACAACGTCGACGACCTGATTAGAAGAAGTATCAAAATGTCTGAGACATTTGTTTGGCCGCCTGCTGCCGTGGGGCCCTATGCCCTCGGTGAGGGTATTTCTGTTAACTCTGTGGACAAGTACTTATGGATTGTGATTCTGGGAGGAATCCTCGCCTTTGCTATGGCATGGGGTATTGGCGCGAATGATGTCGCTAACGCGTTTGCCACTTCTGTTGGCGCTGGTTCTCTCTCTTTGAAATGGGCATGTGTGATTGCCGCCGTTATGGAATTCCTTGGTGCCTTCCTTATGGGTGGCTCAGTTACTGATACCGTCCGTAAGAAGATTATTGACACTGATGTGTTCGATCCCGTCAGCGATGAAGGTGCCGCCAATGGTCCCGAGCTTCTCATGACTGGTTTCCTCGTCGCGCTTTTGGCCTCTACTACATGGTTGATCATCGCGACTTACCTCTCTCTCCCTGTCTCCACGACTCATTCCGTCATCGGTTCTCTGATCGGTGTTGGTCTGGCCTTCCGTGGCGGGTCTGCCGTCGTCTGGATCTCCGAAGGCAGTGGTTTCTCCAAGCTCAAGGGTGTGGTCGGCGTAGTGCTGTCGTGGGTCATTTCCCCAGTGCTCTCGGCCGTCTTCGCTATTATCATGTTCTTGCTTGTGCGTACTCTTGTCCTCCGCCGCCCAGAACCATTCAAGGCCGGGCTCATGTTCATGCCGCTCTTTTACGGTTTCACGATCGCCGTCACCATTTTCTTCATCATCTACAAAGGTGACAAGCGTTTCTCCCTCTCTAAGAAGCTTTCCGTCGGTGTTGCTATTGGTATTGCTATCGGTGGAGGTGCCGTCATCGCTATTTTGTCCTGGTTCTTGATTGTTCCCCTAGCCAAGAAAAATGTCGAGAAGTGGGAAGCCCGCCAGTTTGAGCTTGCCGAGAACCCGGAGCTCGCCGCCGCCGAAGCTGCCAAGACCGCCAAGGTCGACAGTGCGCTCGCCAAGGTCGGTATAAACGTCAATATCACGGAGGAGGTCGATGAGGATGTTGTGCGCATGCACGGAAACGTTGAGGTGTTTGACTTGAAGACTGAGCGCCTCTTCAGTTGGATCCAAGTTTTCACTGCTGCCTTTGATGCCTTTGCTCATGGCGCCAATGATGTCGCCAACGCCATCGCCCCGTTTTCATCCATCTACCAGCTTTATCGGAACAATGGGCAAATCTCGAAGGTTAATGTCAACGAGTTTGAAATGGACGGTACTTTCCAGGGTGGCGCTCGCAATGGAGAAACATTTGTCGAGGAGGATAACCTCCCCGATGGTGAGGCCTTCTGTGGCAAGGACGATGAAGGTGCTGAATACTTTGCATGTGCTTCGGAACCTGTTTTCCCGTTCCTCACTTCTTCAGAAGCAGATGCCAAGTCGGCTGTCTTTGATCTCTACGACGAGGAAGGTAAGCTTTCCAAGGAAGGTAGTACGTGCTACACTAAGTGCAGAAATGGCAGCTATGCCGAATATGATAGCAACAAGCAGCCTGTCCCTCTCTGGATTCTTGCCCTTGGTGGTGTCGGGATCGTCGCTGGCCTCGCCATGTGGGGATACCGCATCATCATTGCCATCGGTGTCAAATTAACCAAGCTCACTCCCGCTCGTGGTTTCTCCATTGAAATCGGTGCCGCCATTACTGTGATTATCGCCTCCCGTATCGGTCTCCCAGTGTCCACCACTCATTGCCAGGTTGGTGCTACAATGGGTGTCGGGCTCATTGAATTCAAGAAATCCACTGTGAACTGGAAACAATTTCTCTTCATCTGCATCGGTTGGGTGTTCACTGTCATCTTCACTGGCTTCTTGTCGGCTGGCCTCTTCGCCACGCTCACTTACTCGCCGTCCAACTTTAGGGTACCGCAGGGCGACCTCAACTATTGCCCGGGCAACCGCCTCTTCCAGTTTAACGAGGAATCAAATGAATTCCAGGGTATTGGGTGCTCCGGGTTTTAAGAAGAAATATCATGACGGGGAAAGACCAGTCACCTTTGAACTTCATCAACTGAAATTACTCTCTGCTTCTCTACTGAGTCATACTGAAAACGCATTTTCGGCGCGGGTGCCCATCTACGGCACGTATCTGATTCACTATCACACTTAAGTATTTTCAGATTCATCGGGGTGTCAAAGCAGAGTTTGTCGGAAAATGCCCAGCGAAAAAAGTTCCCAGACCTACAGACTTACAATTGTACTCGTAGGATAGCCAAAAAGGCGACTCAAAACCTGTTGAGTAAATGCAAGAGCCGTAAGTACACGAATCCTGCAGTACTCAGATAATTTATATGTCAGTAGTTGTGCGTGACGTACCAACATGCATCAGTTCTCACTCATGACGCGTTCCTTAGTTTCAAAAGCGAGGGTTCAAAAGCGAGGGGGGGGGGGGGGGGGGGGGGGGGCAATTATCCACGCCGGTAGTTTAGTCCGTTGTAAAGATATGACTGGTACGCTTGATGGGCTCCGACCGTATCCTTTATCACATGAAATTCTGTCAATCGAACAAATCTTCACATGTCCGTTGTCGTGCGAAAACTGCATGCTGCACACATCACCGTAATATCATCGACATGTGGCGACGGCGGAAACGGAAACGGAAGATGCGGTTTTGAGTTAGGTGCCGTCGCAAAGTTATCAGCAATAATGGCCAAATAATATGAGATGAAATCAGTATCATCGCTCCTCCAAGAACCGAGACAAGTACTGTTGGCTATTGATAGCGTTTTATCCTCCGCCCCGTCGGGCAACGGGCGAACAAACGCCAGAATTTGGCCTTCGCTCACGTTGGAAAAGAATCCATCACTTCCAGCAATTATAAGGTCATTATCCTCCAGCTCTATATAGTCAGCGTAGACTTCATCACTATTAATAGTGAATTGCCCGTCTTGCCGGGCCCCAGTGACAAGGCCGGCAGCATAATAACCCCCCGTCGCGCTTTGAGTCGCACTTCCACCCCACGAAAGCCAATATTTTGCGTTCTTCTCCGTTTTCACATCTGTCGTTCTCCCTAAATGGGTTTCGAGAGCATCTCTCGTGGCCGCCTTGCTATATGACCTATACACAATGGCATTGTCCCTGATAAGCACAATTCCACAAGATCCAGCCCACGCTAACCTAACGACGTTAGACGAGCAATCCATAACAAGCACGGAACTCCCTGGCGGTGCGCCATGCCTCAAAATAGCTGACGAAAGTGACCTGCGAATGTCCATGCGCGCCTCGCGGTCGTACAGGGCCGCGTTGTGTGAGAGAGTCTGGCGTAGGTCGCGAATGAGAGCGGCACCTTGGGTGGAAGGCTGAGCGTAGTCGACCATAGCCATTATACCCAGGTTCTCGTCAACAAAGTTGCGGTCAGTCGGCTCGGTTGATTGGGCGGCGTTGGAGTTGGGGATATAGTGGGAGGAGAGCTCCAGGTCGAGGGGGGTGATCGTGTCGCGGTACCATTGAGTGCTAAAGGAATCGGGAGTGAGAACGGCGCATGTCGAGGTGCCGGTGAGGGGGCGCCTGCTGGAAATGAGGGGGCAAGTTTGGGTGGAGCGCAGGGACGGAAAGGGAAGAGGTGGGAGGAAAGCAGGGGTTGCTCGATGAGGCATGACGAGATGAGATGGAGGGGGGATGTGGAGCGGGTAGACGCGGAGTTTGGTCCGACTTGATGCGGCGTTAATAAGGATATCACAAGGTCATGTATTTAAACTCTGGGGGGTTGGAAAGGTGCGCGGCAGGGTGCATGTCTCATCTGTCCTCCCGTTGACGCGTCACAGGATCAAAGGTCCAAATCTGTGGTGAGATATTTTACTGGTGAGGTAAGACGTTGATTGGGCACAGATGTGGGATGCTAATCTATGCAATTCTATTGGTCACAAGTGGGGAGTATCTCACTTGTGTGCAAATGATAAACAACCAATCTTGTTTCCTCAAACAAGGTCGCGTGCTTTCGGTTCGAATAAACGGAATGATTTCGCGCGCGTTCGAAAACGGGCAGGCATAGCGCATGCGAACTTATGGAAGCTGCAGCAAGTATTGCAATACTGTGGTGAACACGTTCATTACCCCTCAATGTTAGGGCTTCTCCTCTCTACCGCTAACACATTTACGTATAGCACAACACAGAAGAGCAGCTCTTTGCCTTATGAAGTGCCCGTCTATTAAAAATATGCATTCCTTCCTCCCCACTCCACCATTAGCTGCACGGACTTTCGACTGAACATGACAATATAGAATGTGACAAAGAGTTTCTCGCCTGGCTCCTCTCACCCTGCGTTTGCCATTTCCAAGACGCATGAATCGAATGTTGCACTTCGAAAACCGAAAAAAGCATCCTTCTTGTTCATTTCGTTCGTCTCTAGGAGCAGTCCACAATCTCTCTCGCGCGAGCCGTGTATTTAGAATAGAATAACTTGATACGGTGGAGCTTTGCATTTGCCCCTTCCGCTCGTTTTCTAACAGCGGCGCGTCCTATCTTCTATCTCGCAGGGCGGATAGGAGTCTTGAATGCGGCATCTTTAGGTCAACTGGCTCTTCTGCTAAGAAAACGTCTCGGCCCATGTACATACGCAGAGCATGCACACGCGTTGTTTTCAATATCTAGATTACACCGGTAGTTGCCAACCACTTCGACGCAATGATATGGTCTTCTCAAAAACCCTTGTCGCCAGAGAGTTCGCATATCGCAGTGGAGGCAAACTCCACATTGACTCCATTTTCATTGGCAATGCAAGAATGTGCGCGGTTCGATTTGGAGATATCTCTCGGGCTGATAAATCATAATCTTCATGTCTTCTTCCACCTTGAAGATAGGTAGAAGAATCTCAAAGTAGCGATGGCAGCGAGAAACTCTTTCTACATCTGCGGCGCACATGACACAGTAGGACCAGGAGCATGGTTGCAGTCCATAGCATACCACACTCCTTTCGAAGTCACATAGCTTCAAAAAAAGACCACCTCGTAACAACAGAAATTGCTAATCATCACCTGTAGAGGCCGCCCCACCTTCGTTGGCGAAGCCGACTGCAGAGCTCACTGCATGTCTGGTAGATCTATCCACGACTGAAAACTCGACTCGGCGGCAACCGCTAATGTGGGAGCTGTAGAATATTTATCTCGAGGTAGAGTGATAAGCCCTGTATATCGTCATCTATGCATTACATGCTGGCGTACAGGGTCATAGACTGCTGGTGTCAACGTCACTAGGGGCGCCGGATGTCGGTGCTGAGCGTTGCAGTCTGACGCTGATCATGCTTGGAAGAGAAGAAAGACCAGAATGGACTGACTGGGACGTTCTGAATGGGCAGCCAGCGTCCTTGTTTATATTGGAATCAGGGGTCTATGACCATGTGTACGGGTCGTGGTGATCGTTTCAAAAAAATAAGAATTGTTTGTTGACAATCTGGTGCCCAGACGCCTTTCCCAAGAATGCTTCAGCAATTGGGGCAGGACAGAGCAAGGTAGAGAGGCGACATATTAGAGGAAAAAGACTATCATGGATTCGTACTCTGGCTGCAACAACTTTTCGCGGCGACTACCCGTCCTGGATGCAGTGAAACCTAAGTGGGACAGTTTCCATGCGGGCCAAGGAGCGTTGCAGCTGACAGCCTCAACTGCAGCTCGGAAAGGGAGAGGAAATTCTCTTTTGCTGGTGGTCTTGCCGATGAAGCTAGCACAGCGAAAAGTGAGGCAAAAATATATGTCCAAAAGGTTTCAATAGCGTGATGTTAAGATACTGTTCTTTTGCTGAGAGGGGTAAAAAGAGGAGTAAGATAGACACAAGCCACTTGAACTTTTCGGGAACGGTATAGTATGGAAACAAAGCGAGGTGTAGCATGTTGTTTCTGATCGCATATCGACATAATTCTTGTTTTGTCTTGCGATAAAGGTTGGGCTCGCACTCTTCCCGCAGGAATGAAAACGTTGTCGCGTATTACACGCGGGTACGAATTATAGGTGTGGGATGGCTTACCACGTGTACCCTTGGGTACCCTAAGGGTACCCGGCTTGTTTCGGTATGGAATGCATGCACGTTGGACGGCTTCGAAAGAAATGAGCACAATGCTTCGCAAGATGGCCGTGGAGATATGTCCGAGGGAAATATTTTGGGACAAAATCGTGCGAAGTTGATAATTTATCAGAAAGACACCTACTTCGGGCCTCCACCAAAGTGCGCAAAAAGTAACAAGGCGCTACCCAGCCCCTAAACGACCGTGCGCAATCGTGTCCGCCGAGAGCCTTCTTTGATCCCGCGCCTGGACGCTTTCAGAGCGCGATCAAGAGGAGCAGACGAATCGGCATACCGGCCCTGCCAGGCTCCAAAGCACCTGTCCGTCAGGGCCGTAACAGGGCCCGACTTCGCATTTTTCTCAGCATCAAGAGAAAGCTGCCGTTACCAAACACGTCCTCACATCCCCTCACTGTCGACACAGCCTTCTTCGTCCTTCGCCCGTCGTCTCCGTTCTCGCCACGGCCACCCCCACAATGGGCTCCCTCTCCCCGCCCGAGCCCGCGGACGCCACGGGACCTGACCCGAAGCGCGTGCGCTTCACGCCGCCATCGCCCAAGCCGTCGCTGCCCGCCACGGACGTTGTCCGTCTGCACTTCGTGCGCACGGCCGCCGACCTCGATTCCCCGCCCGACCCCGCCGCACTCCTCCCCGCCCCGTACCTGCACCAAATCATCCCCGGCCTCGAGGTCCACGGCTGGCGTTCGCTCTCCGTGGCCTTGCACGTTCACCTGCCCACCTTTTCCTACTGGATCGACGCCTCTGGCGTCCCGGCTGACGAAACCGACACGCGCACGGACGTCCCCGCCTTGCTCTCCCCGTTCATCAAGGCCGGCCTCTCCCCATCCCGCGAGGCCTTCCAGGCCGCCATGGCTGACCCCAAGCCGCTCCCGCTGACGAACCGCGTCATGGACTACGAGGTTGCCGGCGCCAAGTTCGCCGTGTACAAGGAGACCTTCTTCCACAAGGGCCCCGATGGCGTGTTGAATAAGCACGAAGAGTTTTTGGACTACCACCTGCGCATGGCCTCGCTCATGTTTTTGTACATCGACGGCGCCAGCTTCATCGATGACTCGGACCCGCGCTGGGAGACTTTCGTCGTCGCGGAGCTGTCAGACGAGAAGCCGGTGTCTTTTGTGGGGTACGCCACGACGTACCCGTTTTCGGTCCTCAGCAAGGACGAGGAAGGGGGGATGACATTCGCTGATCGCATTCGCGTTAGCCAGGTATTGGTGTCACCACTGCACCAGGGGCGCGGCCATGGGCGCAGATTGTTGCACGCCATTTATGCAGAGGCCAAGGACAGGAAGGCCATGGAGGTCACAGTGGAGGATCCCAGCTTGGGGTTTAGGTTGTTGAGGGATGTCGCGGATTTGAAACGAAGCTATGAGGCCGGCATTTTGAAGGCGGAGAAGAGATGTCCCAAGGCGGAGGAAGAGGCAGTTGTTGAGAAGCTCCGAAAGGAGCTTATGCTCACGGCAGGGCAGGCGAGAAGGTGCTTAGAGGTGCACCAGCTTAAGTACATCGATCTGGAGAACGACGACGAGTATAAGGGGTATCGGTTGTGGGTGAAGCGGCGTTTGTTTAAGGAGAACTACGAAATTTTGGACAGCTTCGACAAGGAGGAGCGCAAGGTCAAGCTAAAGGAAATATATGAGGGCTTGGAAAAGGAGTATAAGGGCTCAATAGTCCGATTGAAGGGAAGAAAGCCGAGCGGATGATTGCTTGCTCGCGAAGGCGCGAGCACATTGTACAGACTAAGATTGATGGTTCCGTGGTATGGATCTCTAAAATCATTTACAGAGCATGGGGATTTATTCATTTGCAAGAAGCTCTTCGAACATTGTCGTTTCGTACGGGCGCTCGCACTGACCACTCTGGATCATTGTGTCTGCAAGCAGCACCGTGCTGTCGGCTATTCGAGTCAAAAACGACTTCATCTCCGACACGCCAAAGCATTCATACAGTTTGAGATGGTCGCTAGCGACAACTTGCGCTAGCCCGATAGCCTCTGTAAACATCCCACTTTCATGGTAAACGTGATGCAGCAACACCGTGAGCTGTGGAATGCCAAATTTTCGGATCGCCTCGATTTCTTTGCTGCGATTGCGGAGGGCATAGTCGCCTCGCGGTCTTTCCGTGATATTCTCGTTTTGCTTGTATTTGTCTTGCATCCATCCGCCTTCGAGAAGCAATGCAGCCCCGAGACTCTGCACTGCGGCCTGGCAGTATCTTTCTGAGGTGCGAAGAAATTCCTCGTTCTCTTTGTTGAATTTTTGAACCTGAATCCCGGCATTTGCTTGGATTTCATAACTCACCTCTCCGGGTTCCGCAGAGGCAGCGGCGCGCATCTTCTCAGAGATAGGCTGCGGCTTCCGGGACTGGTACGTTTTCCATTCGTTGTGCCGCGATATCGCATCCATGTAAACTCGCCATGATTCCAATTCATGAACCGGCCCTTCGCATGTTGATGGTTCAATCTGGGACATGACTTCGGCTGGTGCCCAGGAAATGACGTATCGAGCCGCCGCCCGCCTTCCGCGGAGAAAGAATTGCCGAGCCAAGTTAGTGACCCTTAGCAGAGCTTCTTTGTAATTTGCGAAGGCCGGAAATATCAGAAACTCGATAGCTCGTACGACCAACTCATCGGTCTCTGATACTTCATCAGAAACAGACTCAGAAAGCTTAATGTCGTCAGAGACCAAGCTATTGTCGACCTGGTCCGGAAGCATTGACTTCCATAGTTTGTCTGTGGCTGCGACGATGAGAAGATCAAGAATTTCTCGCGGGAAGCATTGTCCAGCCTTCTGCAAACATAGCGTCCTCCTCTCATCAACCTGACGTGGGGACACACCGACTCGTTTGGCCTCTGCCCTTTCGTGCGATAGGTCCTCTTCCAGAGCAGCGCAGAGTAAAACTGAATATGTAGATATGATGCGATCGTCGGAATGCAGCTCGGCAAGGTATCTTGCCGCCGTTTCAGGCACAATTCTTCTTGGCGGCAAAATCGTACCATGTGCACGGGCCTTGGCTTCCCTTTCTTGGTCTTTCTGTAGGACCACCTCGACATACTTTTCTATTGCAGTGTCAAACGAAAACTCATCCTGAGGCCGATTCTTTATACCCGCCAACAGGCCACTTGTTTTCAGAAAGATGCACGCATGTGCGGCAAAGCGACAAATCCATTCTTCTCCACTACTCGCCCCGGCCTCTGCAAGTTCACCGAGTGTTTTCAGCAACTGTGAGACGTGAGAGCCACACATGCCTGGCCCGATTCCAACGTATGCTCTGGTCATACGAATACCCTCTAACACTTTTCCATCAGCAACATCTAACCCTTCCCCGGCATGTTTGCATTCGCGGAATATTTGCAATACGGTTTCGTCTTCTATTGCTGCTACTGTGACATTGCGCCCATTCAAAACAAACTCAGCCGTCGAGTCTAACAGGGTACACAAGCGCGCCCACGCTTCATCTTCGAATGTCGTTGATACCGCTAGTACAGGTTCCAGTTCTCCTGCAAGCACCCCATACACAGCTCGCTCGTGAGGCAAGATTGCTGGATCTGGGCTCCTCGCGATGGCTTTCGCCGCAATACGCCATGTCCGCCGAGCATCTCCCTTTATCCCATTCGCAGACAAAGCGGAGCTTTTCTTTCCGCCTGCAAGAGCAGCCGCTCGCCATGGTTGTCCGACTCGCCGACATAACTCCTCCGCCTCGGACAGCTTACCCGCCCGCACAAGTCGAAAAGTCTCGTGGGAAATTCGACCTTCCGCTTTGGTCTCTACCTCGTCCAACGACTTGCCAACGGCGTGTGGAAAGTCCATGGAAACTTTTTCTCCCTCATACTTGGATGCAGTGTATTCCCATCGATAGGCTGGGTCATCAAGCGGTTTCACCTTCGGGCCCCCTGATCGTTCCAACACGTCAGCAGCAGTTGTCTCCAACCACTCAACAATTCGCTGACATTTGACATAGCCCGGAACCTTAAGAACAGAATTCTCATCCAGATTACTCGGGGCTAGTCTCGTTGTGGACAAATCGCGACTCCGTATCTCACTAGGTCGCCACGCAGTATCGACCAGGTTCCACGTCGTTTGCTCGAGAAGCAGACGATTCTGTAGAGCACGTACTTGCTTACGAACGTATGGGTGCAAGCTCGGAGCGTCCATAAGCTCATTTGCGCGTTCAAGCTGGAGCGCAAGGGTACTGATCATCTCCTTGACAAAAGCATCAGCCGCCTGAGGCGTGCCGCTTTCATACTGGGTGCGCAAACCGGCAAGGACGTCAAGTGAGGACTCCCGGAGTGCCGCATCCAGGCCGCCATTGATAAACTCTTCAGCGGAACCTTGCGGGAGTGTCGCCAGTGCGTCTGCTTCGAAACTGGTAGGCCGCGTCGGTAGCTGCGGCGTCCCTATTGGAACTGAGCCGGATCGACGCCCGGAGAAAGGGGTGTAGGGAGACGGTGCGACACCGGGGAAGGGGCTCTGGAGGTGGGGCGCGCCCGTCGAGAATCGGAGCTTGCGCACATCGTGCTTTGGTGTTGCCAGTGCACTCATCTTGCGACGAGGCTTTTGCAAATGTATTCAATTGGCGTTGCGCAGTTCACCATCAACATACAAGATCTGCAGGCGGGCGAGGCGGGATTCAAGGTCTGGGCACTTGTAGAGCTGCCGCTGTCGACTAGAGCACTCAAGGGAGGTGTAAACTCAGCAGCAAATGGCATTTGCCCTTGCCTGTGAAGTTTGATCCGAATCAGAATTGCGTTTTTTCAAATTCTTGAGAGTCATTTGCGATGCACTCGGCTTTTTTATTCATTTTCGGAAGAGAAGATTGCAGCAATGCAGAACAGAAGAGCAAAGCTGCAGATGGGAACGACTGTCGCAATCGCATTCTGCAGTTTTATTCCCCATACCATCAGCGTTGCGCCAAAGTCGCATCTTGGGCAACACTCTGTCAGAGAGAAGGGACGGGGAAACCCCGCTCTCCAGTATTTGCACGAGAATTTCTCGGTGCCGTAACGTGATCTATCCACTGCGCATTTGTTAGGCAGGAACGTTGGGCGGGAACGATGCTGTCCCCATCGACCCCTCGTCGAATGCGCCCGCAGCCGATTCGCAAGCTGCCGATTTCTAAAGGCGAGGCCCTTCAGCTGTGGGTGGAACACGGCTCTCGCATTTCCACTCGCTCGGCCGTCCTTTTGTCACGATGCGTCGCTGCGCGCGCAGCCGCAATTGCTGCGAGGACGGAGTCCTCATTTTCTCAAGCCATTTCAGCGCCTGCAGAAAACACCCCTTTCCGCCACACTGTGCCGCTGGCACTGCCGCCCGCCGGGCGGAAAAGACTCAGAGATCGAAGAGCTCGCGATATTCAGATTTTGCGAGAACGAGAGCAGGCTGCCGAGAATTCCGCACGCCAAGCAGAGAAGGAAACAATCGCGCTGGTTCGGGAGAAGCAAGTGAGGGAAGCTGAGCAAAGAGAGAAGGAGAAGGAACTTGCCCGCGCCAAGGCCTTTCAGCTAGAAGCTGCAGAACTGCGAAGAAAGGCCAGAGAAGCAAAGGAGCAGCACGAGGCCGCAGCGAAACTGGGCCTTGACCATCAAACCACTAAAAGGGATAATGAGATTCAGGTCAAGTCTGTGGACGGGAACCAAGCAGTGACAGGAGGAGACGCGATTCCCATGGTGTTCGGCAGTAGTGCAACAAATGGAAAGCAGGATATGAAAGTTGAGGATGCTGCAAGCTCTGCGCGTAAACAAGATGCCGCAAAGCCTGCGAGGACCAAAACTAATCCTGACGGCCTGAGCCCAGTCATTATCGCAGCAGGAAACACAGACGAGGTTGCCGGACTAGGAAAGATCGCTCACATTGAGGCTGCCCCTGAAGACGTTAGTCGCGTTGTTGTGATTTGGAATAGACTGTGTGATGAGGCTGAACCTTTCCGGCGCAATCCCTCCATGAAAAAACCTCGCCTTGACATCAAGAAACAGATCAATCTCAATGTAAATCAGCTAGCTGCGAGTGTCAAACATGTCACTATGAAGATTTCAAGTCTACTGACAACACTGAGGAACGCCAAGGCGGGAGGAGGAGATGCAGGGGAGGCTTTTGCGAAAAAGGAAATCGCTCAACGTCTTATTAGTGAGTCAGATGGCAGTGTAGCTTTGAATCGTACGGCCGCGTTCGCAGTAGGCGCGGTGATTGTGGGAATAGCAGCAGGAGTGCAGGACCCTGGAAATATGCGAGATGTGTTTCTCGGGGCATTCTACAAGCACTGCATGTATACAACCCCAGCTTACTCGAGACGGCCAAAGAGTGAAAGCACTGAGGACTATCGACGCCGCATAGGCTACAAGCATGCGGAATCCGCTGAGAGTTACCTGGAGAGAAGCTGTGGTTGTGTGAGCTTATTTGCTGCTGTTCTACAAACAGAGAAGATTTATGGACCGGCTCAGCGAATCCCAGGCGTTTCAAACCCCTTCTCTCTTGACATCGGATGGACGTGGTTGGCAAGAATTGCAAACAAAGAACAGCACGCGATCACTCCAGCAATCACTATTGCCTTCTTGGAAGTCGCTGGTTACTACATGTCCCAACGGTATCGCAAGCAATTTGCAAAACTGATCGCAATGGTGCAGCGAGCCGTTGTGCTGAAGGCAGCCAAATCTGCACCTCCAGGGCCCTCTTCCCGGCTAGACACGTTACTAGAGGACTTCATTCGGGCAGGCTGCACCTTTCCAAAGCCGCCACACGGTCGAGAGCTCCCAGCTAAAGATTTGGAGTTTTTGTAGTTTTCGAAGTACAATTTATGGCGACCTCACGGAATATCATCTACACCAGCTCTCAATTTCCGTAGCTAAAAGGGCGCTTTGCCTTTGCGCAAAGTGATGAGGAAACTTTGTCAACGTGGAGCCGCGGATCCTGTGCTGGTTCTACCTCTACGAAGATAGGCAATGTCGGCAAAGACTGTAGAGTTGCAGCACACAAAAAGCGCTCATGCTTTGGCGCTTGCGAACCCGTGTGACTCCATCTTAACTTAACGGATTTGAAGTATCGATTGCGCTGTCGGCGGTCTCGATGTTGAGGTTATATGATATAGTTGTCTTATCTAATATTTCAAACCGATCCCGTAAGGGTCTGCGAGGGACGGCTGTGCGTGTGAATACTGGCAGGCCGGTTACTTATTCTTGAATACTGAGGAATGAAGCAGTCGTTGTCTTTTCTGGACAAGGAATAAGGCTGGCATCGGCAAGTTCAACAGGAAAAGGTGCTTGGACTTCACGTTTCTTGAGATAGTTTTCGATGCTCACTCGATGTTGCATACCTCCCTCCCGCTGCAGTCTGTAATTGATACGTTTATATTTTGATGTGTGAAATAGGCAAACACATGGTGGTAAGTAGGTTGAACAGTACCTTCCCCTGTGTGAGTGTCCCTCCATGCTTCCACTAGAGTCTATCAATGCGATGTACTCGCGACTTTGATGACACTAGCGCTATTGGTTCCACGACGCAGGCCCTTAAACAAGTCGAAGTTATTATTTTGAAGACCTTCAACAGCCCTGATGCTTGTCTTTAAGTAAAGTATGGATTACAGTGCTTTTAGCTTATACTAAGCGGCTCAACTGCGCCGGTTTCTACTGGAACATGTACACATCAAAGAGCAAGAAATACTGTGCAGACTCTTTTCGCTGCAATATTACACAAATATGAATATTGTTTTGTGAACTAAATAGCAACAGGTCCGAGAGTCGAACGCAGGGCATGTTCAATGACATGAACACTGCCGCCACAACAAGTGAGATGAGACTGGACCTTTCAAAGTCATGTAAATAAAATCGACCACTATCTATAGGAATGGCGACGCGCGTAGTCATAAAAAGAAGGCTGGGAAATAATCAAGTATCTTGATGTGTCATGACATACGGATGACAGTGTGGGCAAACCTCCGCAGCGGGATACCGGCTTTGAGGTGGGGGCATCGACGGTAAGAAAGTTGGTTACGCCCGATGGCAGATCACAGCGCAGCCTTCCGGTGCGCTCTGAAATCGATGCAAAATCAAGGCGGTACAGTATTGGTCAAAAACTCTTCCTACTGTTGCAAAAATGAAAACGTGACATTGCTGTACGTCTGAAAAAAGCAAAAAACAGTAAACGACCTCGGCGGGACTCGAACCCGCAATCTCCAGATCCGAAGTCTGGCGCGTTATCCATTACGCCACGAGGCCATATGTTCAGTGGATGTTGGGTTCTCATCAATGTATATATACCTTCCATATATGAGTATTTTGATGAGGAGGGCGCGGCCGTTTCGCCAATCTTGTCAAATCTGGTCACCGCAACACTCGGTCGCATGCCGGACCATCTCGCAGACCTCGCACGCCAGTCACCATTGTAATCTAGACCTAAACGTGTGTAGTTGGCCATCGTCAGGCACATAGTGAAAGAGAAGATCCCGCTGCCTGCAGTGTCATCGACAACCAGGCGAATTGAATTGCCTCTCGTGGCTCCTCTACATTCGCCCGCATCCAAAAAATTACCTCTGGACTACGATATGGTAGTTGCAGTTTTGTCATCGCCGTTCGTGCTCGCTCGCTCCCTCTCATGTCGCGCAGATCCTCCTTACCTTCGATCCCCGTACTGCACTTTCTCATCCGGCTACCCAATTGCAGCCAATGAAACGGTCCCAGCAATTTCTGGCAAAATCATCCTGCAGCGTGGCCGATTTGTCATGTCACTACAGTAGGTTATGTCCATGGCCCACTATGATCCTGACTTGTTTCAGTGAGTCCTTCACATTCGCTTCAGTACATTAAATACGGCTGTAGAGCCGCTTCGCGTTCGCACACTATTGCTCCTCTGCGCGCCAAGAGAGCATTTATGTCGGCTGGCAAAGTTGCTCCTCCTGCTCAGAAGGGTCTCATCCGCACGGTCCGGTGTTTAGCAAAGGGGACATCGATATGGATTCAAGGGGTGGTAGTGTGGGTCTCTGAAACCCAACTCGCTATCGACGATGGCTCTGGTATAGCCCGCGCCGCGCTGCAGGAATATATGCGTCATGAATCGTCACTACCGTTTCGGGAGGGGCAGTATGTCATGGTCGTTGGTATCATGCTCAAAAGGTTCAAGGGACATCGCATGGGGATGAAAGCAACTACAATTTGCGACTTGACCTCATCCCCAATGTTTGAGACATTGTGGAACTTGGAAGTCGCAGACGCCTTTCTGTACGGCAAGGAGAAGGGCACAGGTGAAGTCATGAGGGGATGAGAAAGTCACGTTGAGAAAGCATGCGCAAGCAGCCTCTGTGCTGAGTAACTGTAGCAGGTCATGTTTTGGTTGATTCACATCTTCACGGCCTTTGGAATCACCGTGAGATGTTGGGTTAGGGTTGTGATCCTATTTTGTATTAATAGGTTTGTAAAGTGTACAGAGATTACCGATGTGTGCTTTCACAAGGTATACATATTTCTCCACCTCCCATGATGCTCCAGGGATTGCCCCATCAACCCATGATAGAAGGGATGCTGTCAAGCGCCGTAAATACCTGTTCCAACATGGCAGGGGACATTTCCGGAACAGAACGGAAGTTGCGACCGAGTCCGAATGTTGACTTATTCTGTATCGTGGGTCCAAAGAGTTGAAGATCCGCACTGCTTATGGTTGATGAGCCTCCCGGTTGATTCATTGGATCAGCAGTCACAACATGACTGCTTGAACTACCGTTATCCGGCTGCCCGGGCCCCACTGGTAGAGAACCTGAAGTGGGCTGTTTTGGTGCGATTGGAAACCACTTTCGTAATCGGTATTTCAGATACCGTCGTTTCAAGACGAAGTGTGCTAGTATTCCTGCTTCGAGATCAGCAGTCGGATACTTGATGCTCGCAAGTATTGCATGCCGCGCGGTATCCCGCCGCACTCGTGCATTGTATCGACCACTCTCATTTTTTCCTCCTTCAGTGCCAACCATGGATTCGAACCCAGGTTCATTAAAGAATGGGTCGGGCACTAAAATAAGGCTCTGAATGGAAACGAGCACCTGCAAGATAGTCGACGCTGAAGTCCATGATGGCCCACTCCAGGTCCCTAACAAGGACAAGCAAACCTTTCCTGAGCTGTACAGATTTGGGTTAAATCGCACAGAGCCTCCTCCTGTGGTGAGAAGTTGGAACTTCGGTGGCACGTATGGGTACTCTAAAGGCAAGAAGATGTCAAAGACGAATGCACCAGAATCGTACGGAGTGTCATCTGACCCAAATATACATGCTTTCAGAAAATCATATCGATCCTCGTCGACTCGCAAGAGAATGCTCGATGACCAACTCAATGGCAAACTTGAGAAGAGGGACGCAACTTCGCTGGCAATACGTCTCTGGCGTTGCTTCTGAACGCCGGCGAATTGCTCTGCACGCATAGCTTCTTGAAAGAATACGCTCCTTGTCGCCAATCCCGGAACGGCCAGGAATTGGTGTGATTTCATCTTCTCAATATACATGGATTTGTCATGATCAAAAGAGAAGCATTGAGGTGCGGTTACCGTTTCACTGCCCTTGTCCTTTTCATTTGATGGTGCTTCAGCGGTCTTTTCTGTGTCCTTCTTCGACTGAGAATCGTCTTCGGCGACGTCCACGTCTACCGCGCAGACAGCAGCCTTGCGGTTGCGGACAACTTGAAGCAGGTTGTGGCGGTTAATGACCCTGATGCACTTTCGGATCTGTTTTACAAGGAAGGTCGTAGATTCTTGGAGCCCATCTGAACCCGCCCCGGTCGATAGGAGAGCAGCTTGTCGTGATAAGGACTCAACGAGTTCGGCAATGCTTCGTCCTTTGTTGCCATCAAAAGGTTCGGTTACCAACAGGCGAAGTGAAGGCGTCTCAGCTAAAAGGTGAACGACGCGAAGAGCCGAGTAGAAAACAGGAATACGGCCAAGGACATCCATCATCGACTCATTGACCAACACCTTTGCCAAATGCGAAATGAGATGACGTTCTCGCAATAAGAGACGCATGTATCCAGGCCACGATTTGAGGTGCGCATCTTTTGGGGACAGAAGAAAGCATCGAAGACGCACTAACCAGTACGTGGCCTCTGCATCGAGGCGGGCAGCTTGGTTCAAGATCTTTTCGCTAGGCCCTTTCCACTCAGTGCCACACGACCCTGCATACCCTGTGCCTTTCGCAAAACCTGTCTTTCTCGTCTTTCTCCTCTTCGCGCTGCGCACACTGCTCGCTGACTTGTACCGCTTCCGCGACACTCGTGTCTTGCGCACACCGAATTCCTTGCTAGTATTTATCGTTTTCTGCTTGGCCTTCTCTTCCTCATCCAACCGGTCCTTCTTATCTCTTTCGTTCTCCCACACCCGCGATAGGCCCCTGATGTTCTCATAAACACCAACAGCACGAGCCTTGTCACAATGAGGATAAGCTGGTGACGAATGCATCATGGCCGGCTCGACAGAATCTTCCCGGTCAGTATTGCGATCCCCTTCGGAAGAACCGCTTTCCTGATCTAGTTGGGAAGCAGACTCGTCATAATCCGCACATGCGGCGCAAATCCAGGCCCCATGCCCCCCGGCGGCCTCCTCGTCGAGGACCCAGAGCGGCTCACACGCAGTGGCGATATCATCTTGGAGCAAATGTTCGAGCCCATTGACGAGGCCATTCTCAAGCACGACATGCATAGCGTCCGAGGAAAAAGCAGGAAACTCAATAAGCGCTGCGCCCGTAGCCGCATCATCGGCATCCTCACTTCGCCACGAGTGGAAGACGGCAAGGGCCATGGCGAAGGCGTCGTCTACGACCGGCGGCACGAGCGCGAGGTCGGCCTCGGCCCTCGAGAGCGGGGCGCGGCAGCGCGCGACAACACACGTGGGCAGCGAGATGAGGCTCGAGGCAGTTATGCCTTCGTCCTTGATGCGCGGAAGGTTGTCGATTACCGCGACGGCGCGCAGGGCGCAGCGGGCGCATAGGGCGTGCCTGCACCGGGAAATGCGCAGCGGGGCGTGCGAGCGGAACGCGAGGCTGCAGGCGTCGCAAGCGGTCGAGGGCCGCGGGCGGCGCCGCGGCGCCGAGCACACAATGACGTCCTTGGCTTCGTCGCCGGAATCTATAAGCTCCGGCTGCGCCTCGACGTCGATGACAGGCGTCGGTTGTGGCGCGGCGAGGGTGGCGTCGACGTCGCCTGGATCAAGGTCGACGTCAACGGGCGCGGCGTGGAGGATGTGCGGGAAGGTGTGTAGCTGGTGAGTGTGTGACGGCTGTCCGCGGAAGGTGGAGTTGGCGAACGGTTGAGGGGCAGCGTGGCACTCTGCGACGTCGAGGTCGAGGTCGACGCTGACGGGCGCTCGGGCTGACGGGTTGACGAAGGCGGCGGAAACGATCTCGATTTCGTCGTCATCCTGGCTGAGAGGGGCGGAGCGCGAGTCTCGGACGACGGTGAGGTCATCGTCGGACTGGGGGGCGGGCGGGGCGGATTCGAGGTCGACTATGGCGAGCGTAGGGGCCGCCGGCTTGGACACGGAGGTTGCGACGGTGAGGAGGGAGCGGAGGATGTCTGCGACTGCGGGCGGCGTGGAGGCCGGCATGGCGGGGGGCGGAAGGGAAATTCGGAGAGACAGAGGAGGAGGAAGGGGGTCTGGGTGGGCAGAGGAAGGGGATGGATGGAGGCGATAGCGATGGGAGAGACTGAAGAGGAAGGAGGTGGCAGCGGGCAAACAAACGCGTTTCCAGGATGCAACTGGGGAGGGGTAGGCAGTCTTGCACGGCATGCCGCGTGACGCGCGGGGATGGGCTCAAGACAGAGAAGATATGCTGTTTTGCGACGCCACACACGTGTAGCCCCGCAATTTTTTCGCCCAATTGTTTTCGCCAAATTGTTTTCGCCCATTTTCGCACGTTTTCGCCCTTATTCCCCATTTTTCAATCTGCCCTCCGCACCCCCATTGGCTGTCCCAGATATCATCTCTCGTCTTCGACGTCACCTTCTCCCGTTGAGCTCATTGCCCCTCCTTCCCTTCCCACCCCTTTCCTTCCCACCCTTTCCCTCCCACCCTTTCCCTCCCACCCTTTCCCTCCCACCCTTTCCCTCCCACCCTTCCCACCCTTTCCCTTCCACCCTTCCCACCCTTTCCCACCCTTGCCCCATCGCCTCCCACACCCACACCCACACCCACACCCCTCCCCTTCACCATGCAAGCCTTCGTCCCATCCGTCCCCGTCCTTCCGCCGCACGCCATCCGCCGTTCCTCTCTCTCCGCCGCCCCTCCGATCCTGCTCCCGCACCGCAAACGCCCGACCCTCCCCCCCCTCCGCCGGCCCGCCACCTCGTCCGCGGC